GGAGTTTAATCAGACAAACGGATTTAAATCCTAGCTCAGTCATTCCAAAAATGTGACTTTGCACATTGCTGAGTCTGTCTACATACACGAGACTATAATGTTCACGGTACAACCATGAAAGTCACGTGACACAACACACGTGCATCACACTTGTGGAACTATTTTGGTAGCTATCTTCTGGAAACATCCTTTGGGAATGGGAGAATGGAAGGGATCTATGTATCTCTCAATGGTCAGCCCATAAAGGGCCAGACTTAAATGGCCAGTTGTTGGCCGGACCATCTTGTCACTGTTTTATCTCCTCCAGTACAGAAACAAAAGGGCACAGGTCTTTATCAAAGCGTAAAACTTGGCCCAGAAACTAAGAGTGTAACAACTAACCGATCACGGCCACCGTTCCCGACAACCCCCACCCATTCCCAGGGCCCAGAGATGCCTAACCCTTCCCTCAGTCCCCCATGCTCCCAGGAACACATCTTCGACATTCTTATAGGTCACAGGGTCAGCAGCAAAAATACTGACTCCAGTGGCCCATGCTTCTAATCCCGGCTCTAGGGAGGCAGATTTCTAGGAGGCCAGCCAAAGTACATTGTGACACCCTGTCTCAAACCTCCCCTACCCCCAGGGGGAAAAAAATACCGACTCCAGGCAACTAATTAATCTCTTGGCCACTAACCATTTAACCCCCCCCCTCCAAAAAAAAAAGTCAAGGATCAGCACTACTAAATCCAGGCCTGAAGGCAATGCACCTTGGCTTCCACAGTAGCAGTTGGGCAGAGCTAGGCTGCTGTGGCAGGGTTCTTTCTGGCTCAGGCTGTTCTGCCTGCCCCCAACACCATTCCGTTGTGACTATAAATTCAACTTTGTTGCATTTATCAGCTTAGCTGAGCAGATGTCTGACGCCAAACATGTGCCTTTCAGACACTGTGTACATGTGCTTGACAAAGTCCCAGACTTGCTAGGGGAAACTGAAAGACTATCAGTAGCTGGTGCTAGGAAGTGACTGCTTACTCTGGCAGGCACTGGGCTGGGCTTGGTGGCACACATTTTTTTTTTTTTTTTTTCTTTCTCTGAGATAGGATCTTGTTGCGTAGCCAGGGCTGGCTTGAAACTATTTGGGCCAGGTTGGCCTAGAACTCTTGAGATCCTCCTGCGTCTGCCTCAAGAGTGCTAGTCAGACATCAGCCACCACACCCAGCTTTACACCTATAAAATCATTTAATCATCAAACTAACTTCTTGAGGATTATCACTCCTGTTTTAGAGATGGGAACCTCGCGGCCCAGGCACAATTTGTACAGAGTGTTTGAACCAGCCGAGTCGAGCCATGGCAGAACTCTTCACAGCTGCGGGGCACGAAACTACCATTCCACACTAAAGAGCTGGCTAGGGACAAAGCCATTTCTCCACAGCGTATTATTTGCAAATCTTGGAGTACCTCCCAGGACAGCCTCCCCATCTTACCCTCTAAAGAGCACACCTAGTAGGGTGGGGAGGCTTGGCAGTTGGCCACAGATTTCTATCAACGCCGCTCTCCTTCCAGACCCCGCCTAGGAGGAGACTCCAAACCAAACAGCACCCAGATTTAAAAAGTGCCATCTCAGCTGTTGCAACCCCTGCTTGCAAGCGAGGGCTGCGGGGCACCACTGTGCACGAGACACCGCAAGGCGCCCAGTTATGCACGAGGTCTCAAAGAAACCCCAAGCCTCTGGGAGGAAGACAGTATCAGCATCTCTGCCTTGTGGACTAGGAGACCTGCTAAGAAACTTGTTCACTGGCTCGCATTCACTCAATAAGGAAGACCGGTCCGGACGTCCGTCCCTCCCAGCCCGGCATTTCCGAAACACGTGCAGTAGCCCTGTGCACTTTCAGGGGATCCAAGGCTACATTCGCTCGCTGTTTTCCAGTGGGAAGAGACCACGAGGGGAGGAGGAGGGATCGAGAAGGACCAACACGAGGCGGGCTGTGGGTTGGAGGCCCGCCTCGCGGCCGCGGGTCTCCAAAAACTCCTCAAAAAACCCCCAGCCTCCAGAGCCGGAGCCGGAGAGCGCCACTGGAGGAGCGCAGGGCCTCGGCTCACCCTGGCGGTGCTTTGCGGGGCGCGGCCCGAGGGCCGGAGTAGGGAAACGCGAACCCACCTAAGTCCATGGCGGCGAAGCTGGCGGCGGGGCTAAGCCGCCCCTCCCACTCCGAGGCCAAGAACGCGGCGCCCACGCCACGGCACAAAGGGCGGCGTCACAGGCCCCGCCCACCGCTCGCCTGGGCTTCCGTGCGGTACTCCGCTGGCCGGGTGCTGCTCCGTGCGCACGCGTACTCCGTCCTCCTCCTCAAGCTCGCGGCGTCGGGGCCGCCCAAGCCCACAGCGCCCCCTCTCGGCCCCAGGCTTCCCAGCCGTCTACCCTCAGGTACCGTAGGCCGGCTCCTTGCAGAATCTGGCCTCTTGAGGCCAGGAGGTCCAGTCCTTTAGTCCAGACCTCTCATTCACCCTCACCCAGGAACCCCGGGCAGCTCCCGCCCACGATTCACTCCTACGGAATGGCCCTCCCCAGGCTGCCCACTAACCAGCAGCAGATCCACGGGACTCACCCCTCCCTGTCCAGCCTCAGAGACCCGCACAAATGCCCAATTGCTTTTCATGCTGCACGGTCTTCTATGGGCAACGGCAACGTCCATTTTCAGGGCTCAGAGGTGCCTTTGTAACTTTGAAGGACAGTCCTACTGGAAAAAGCACTGTGGGACAGGACCAATCGCATGGATGCCTGGTCTGCAACTTGTACTTTATCAAACACACACACACACACACACACACACACACACACACACACAAACGCCCTGTGTTCTCACACACTATCTCTTTGCCCTTTCATTCCAAGGCCTAATAATCACCTCCTTTGCTTATTTCCAACTCTCTTCTAGTACCAGGTGTCACTTAGAACAGAGAGGCCCAGCCTCTGGTGCACCAATGAGCCAAGTGGAATTTGAAATGGCCTGCGCTTCCCTCAAACAGCTGAAGGGGCCCGTGAGTGATCAGGAGAAACTGATGGTGTACAGCTTCTACAAGCAGGCCACCCAGGGCGACTGTAACATCCCTGTCCCTCCAGCCACAGATGTGAGAGCAAAGGCCAAATGGGAGGCCTGGAATGTGAACAAAGGGATGTCCAAGATGGATGCCATGAGGATCTACATTTCCAAAGTGGAAGAGCTGAAGAAAAAGGAGCCTTGCTAAGGACATTTTGGCAGCTATAAGAAATAACATGGCTCCACTGGTAGGGAATGGGCTTAAGAGTTCCTAATGGCTTAAACATACTGAAGGGTAGCAGGGTTAGCGGAGACATCAAATAAATCACTTGAACCGCACCAGAGTGGAGTCTGTTGCAAAAGAAACTCTGTGAGGGTCCTGGGAAGGGGTTCAAATGTGCAAAAGCATCTCTCAGCTGGGTAAAACTCCATTAATCTGGGTTTGGGTGGTCTGGCTGGCATCGACAGCCTTCTTAGTCCCACAGCCTATGTGGATGGATATCTGGCAGAAGAGGGGATGGGTGGGTGGGGGGGAATCATGCTATGAAAATGACCAAGGTTGGAAGTGGAGGCAGGGCCTTGGATCTGTATCGTTAAAGGGCTGCCAACTCACCAAGAACCCAACAGTACAGAGGGGCTCTGCCTTCTAAAGAGCTAGAGTCAAATAGAAAAGTCCTGGTCTGGAACACGGGTCCGGAGAAGTTGGTATTTTGATGAACTCAAACTTTCAGGGACACAGTGGTGAAGTATCTCATGTATCACAACACAGCAGCCGAGAGACAATGGAGCAAGATGGTTTCAAATCTTAGCATCCGAAAGACTCATCTCAGGCTTGGCATCCTAAATGTTCTTAGGATTGCTGTTCCTAACCTAGGTTTCTGCTTGGGGCCCTGACAGACAATATGATAGGCACATGTGGCTCATACAAGCGCCAGGGTACTCTCTGCCAACCATTTCATCATCAATGAGCTACCATGGTGCCTGGAAGCCGGCATATGAAGTGCCAGAGTTCTTGAAGGACTCTACAGTATCATGGCCCTTTCCTTTTCTTCAAAACTTGTCCTCCATCTGAGATACAGCCACTTGTCTGCCATGTGTGAGGCTCCGGGTTTGATCCCTAGCAAATCTAATCATGTAACAGCAAGTTTCTAAAGGTGTTTTTGTCGTTGTTTGTTTTTTGGTTCTTCTGGTTTTGGGGATAGAGCCTGACTGGTCTGGTATTCACTGTGTAAACCAGGCTGGCCTCAATTTTCAGAGATCCGTCTGCTTTTTCCTCCTGAGTGCTGGGATTACAAGCATGAACCACCCTGATGGTTATAAAGTATATTTTTTATCATTAAAACATTATTTATTATTGTGTGTACACTATATGTAGGTGTGGCAGGAGTGAGTATGCTAAGCGTGCATGAAGAGGAGTTGATTCTCCTTTACAGAGGTTCAAAGAGCAAACTCAGGCTGCCAGGCTTTTGTGCCGCCACCTTTACCTACAGAGCTATCTTGTCAGCCCTAAAGGTTTTTGTTTTGTTTTGTTTTGTTTTGTTTTGAAACAGTGTTTCTTTGTGTAACAGCCCTAGCTGTCCTGGAATTTGATTTGTAAACAGGCTGGCTTTGAACTCACAGAGATCTAGATCTGCCTGCCCTGCACCACCAAGCCGAGTTAACAAAATTTTAACTAGTCCTCTTTTCTCCTTGTGAATTAGAGGGTCTATATAGTGAGTTCCAGACTAGCCAGGCCTACATGAGACATTGTCTCAAAAACAAAAACAAGCTGGGTGGTGGTGGCACAGACCTTTAATCCCAGCACCCAGGAGGCAGAGCCAGGCGGATCTCTGTGAATTTGAGGCCAGCCTGGTCTACAGATCGAGATCCAGGACAGGCACCAAGACTACACAGAGAAACCCTGTCTCGAAAAACCAAAAAACAAACACAAACCCAACCTCATTTTAGAACCATCCTTTCCAAAAAGCTTTAATAACAAACGCACTCAATAAAATTGTTTTTAATGTTTGAAACCAACTTCCTATATTAACCTAAACAGAAAAATCACCAGAATATGAAATACATATTTTTCAGGCTGAAGAAATAATTTAATCCATTTTAAAGATGACTAAAACCATTTATAAAGAAAATAGTACAGAACCAGGCCCACAGAAATGTGACTCATTGAATATTTTGTTCATTAAACACTTCCTGTTTTCTCTAGTTATTCAAAATATAGAATCGTGAGAAATTACCCAGATATTTTTTATCCAAAGGATAATTTTTCTTAATCTTTTTGTACATGGGTGTTTTGCCTGCATGTATGTATGTGTTCTGTGTATATGCAGTGCCTTCAGAGGCACTAAGAGGATGCTGGATCCCCTGGGACTAGAATTACAGAGCAGTCATGTGGGTGCTGGGGAACAAACTCAGGTCCTCTAAAAGAGCAACCGGTGCTCTTTTTTTTTTTTTAAAGATTTATTTTATTTATTATGTAAACTGTTCTTTCTTCAAGTTTGCCATATGCCAGAAGAGGGCACCAGATCTCGTTACAGATGGTTGTGAGCCACCGTGTGGTTGCTGGGAATTGAACTCAGGACCTCTGGAAAAGCAGACGGTGCTCTTAATCTCTGAGCCATCTCTCCAGCTTGCAACCAGTGCTCTTAATCACTGAGCCATCGCTACAGCCCCAGGATAGAATTTATTAAAAAGCAAACAAACAAAAAACCCATCAAGTCTGGAAGAGTGGCACACATCTATAATCCCAGCACTGAAGGCTGAGGCAGGAAGATCAAAAGTTCAAAGCCACTGGGTAGGGTGGCCTGTGCCTTTGATCCCAGCAGGAGGCAGAGGCATGTGGGTCTCTGAGGCCAATCTAGTTGACACTAGATTGTTCCAGGCCTGCCAGGACTACAAAGTGAGACTCTGTCTCAAGGGGAAAAAAAAGCTACCTTGAGTTCCACAGTGAAGAGACAGGCTAACCTGTGCTATCAGGGGGCTACCACCCTGTGCTATCAGGGGAGATGATCTTGGAAAGCCAAAGGAAAAAGTTTCTTTAAATGTCAAGACCTTCGATGGTAAGGTCCATCAGGACCTGGAAACATCATCACTCTAAGCAGTTGGTTTGGCTTTTTTTGACTTGTTTTGTTTGAGACAGGGTTTCTCTCTGTAGTCCTGACTAGCCTTGAACTCACAGAGATCCTCTTGTCTCTGCCTCCCGAGTGCTGGCATGTGCCACCATGCCCAGCTGGTTTGGCTTGATTTGAACATTTGTTCCAATATTAACAACATGATTCACAGTTAATGAAATTTTCCTCCATCCCCAGCCAACGGTAATGTTCCATATAGAGCTGTCTCAGTCTGGATAACAATTAGTTACCAATTTAATACAATTACACACAGGAGTTCACCTCTACCAAGAGTGATAAAAATATTTCATTTTTAAAACGTAACAGAGCTTTGAAGAGTGGAACCCCAACACGAGCCTCCTTGTCTATGCTGGACACCACTAAGTGGTGGGTATTTATTGTGAACAGACGTGCTGGGCCTCAGATGATAGACTGCAGGTGTAAGTGCTGCTCCCCCATGGCTTCCATTAACCCGAAGCCTTCGGTTTATTTCTCGTGGCAAACCACTCATCACTTTTGTCTGCTGCCATTGCCTGTGGAAACAGAGGGACAGACATTACTCCAAGTCTGCATTCTCCACCGTGACATTAGCAGGAAAGCGAGTTCATCTGTGTGGAAAATGTTGTCCACTCTAACAGGAGAGCAGTCACTTGGTGATTCTCACATGCTGCTGGCACCAGGGACGGGCTGTTGATGAGAGAGCAGGGACTGGGTGTGACTCCAGGGTCCTGGGGAGGACAAGAATCTCCAATGCTAATGAGCTTAGTCTGACACCAAGGCTAACTACTTACCACCTCCAGTTCAAGCCCCAGTACCACCACCAAACCCTGTCTGCAAAAACAAACAACAAAAACAGCAAATACGGTAATATTTTTTTTAAAGTGAGTTTTGGGGGCTGGAGAGATGGCTCAGCACTTAAGCATGCATACTGCTCTTGCAGAGGACCTGAGATCAGATCCCAGCGTCCATGTCAAGGGGCTGGCTCACAGTCACCTGTAATTCTAACTCCAGGGGAACTACCACTGTCTCCTGCACCACAAGGGCACCTGCACGCATGCCATACTCACTCACTCTCTCTCTCTCTCTCTCTCCACACACACACACACACACACACACACACACACACACACACACACACACAACAATGGTAATAGAAATAAATCTTTTTTTTTTTTTTTT